TTGAATCTGTCCTTTCCTGTTGGATCGAGTGGAAAATGACCTCATCCCAGGGGTCGACTACTGTTGGTGGTGATGAGTCTGCGTCACTACCCAAATTTGAGTTCGAATTTTCTGTTCCTGAGTCATCGTCCTCCTCGCAGGAAGGCTTAAATTCTAAACTAGCTATTGCAGGCTTCATTCGATTGGCGTGTGTATGCAACTTCTTTCTGGTTTGTATGTGCTGAACGAAGAAATCTACCGGGCTCGTCTCAGCAACTATTCGATAGGGTCCTTGCCATCTGGGAGCTAACTTTCGCTTCAATCCAGAGGGGACTACTTCTTCCTTTACAAAAACTCGATCTCCTACTGAAAATTTGTAAGGTTTGTTTTTACGCTGGTGATATAGTTTTCTGTCTATCGCGGCTTTTTCTGCGTGTTCCTGCGCTATTTGGTGTGCTGAATTCAATCTAACCCTGAGTTCGCTCGCGAAATTTTCGCTTATGTCATAACCGGGTCTATTTGGTTCCGTAACTATGTCAAACGGATATGTAGGATCACGTCCGTACATTAAATAAAATGGGGTTTCATTTGTGCTCGAATGCACGGTTATATTATAAGCAAACAGCGCGTAAGAGATCACTTCATCCCAATTACGTGGTCCTTGTCAACATAGTGTGTTAAAATATCTATGAGCGTTTTATTCAGCCGTTCTACCATTCCATTACATTGGGGGTGATATGCGGTTGTAAGGAGTCTATCTATATGCAGCAAATCGCATACTTCTTTCATAACCTTAGATACAAAATTGGCTCCTCTATCTGTAAGCAGTTGTTTGGGGACTGAATGCCTTAAAATAATTTGCGTGATGAACGCTTTCGCCACTGTTTTAGCAGTTATGTCGGGCAAAGGGATTGCTTCTGCCCATCTAGAAAAATGGTCTATGAAAACTAACAAATACTTGTTATCATGATGAGTTACAGGTAGTGGACCTTGGATATCCAATGCAGTACGCTCAAAAAGTCTCGATACCTTTGGAAACGTCTGCAAAGGGGCTTGATGTCCATGCAGGGGTCTTCTCCTCATCGCGCATTCCTGACAACTATCGCAGTAATGCGTTATATGTTTGTTCATTTCTGGCCAATAAAACTGTTTTTGTAATTTCTTTCGCATCTTTTTTGCACCTAAATGTCCTGAGCTAGGAATGTCATGAAATAATTTTAAAATGTATTCTATCATTATTTGGGGAATTACTAATCTGTCCCAAACCTCATTTCTTTCAGCTATTGCCTTTCTGTGGTAAAGGGTTTGATCTGCATCTAAATAAAAGTTTGCTACATCTAGGTTTGTATCTTGAGAGGACGGGTCTCCCATTAATTGCTTCTTTACTTGACTACAAAAGGGGATCTTTTTGCTGTTGTTCCCTAACTTGTTCTTTACTAAAGATCAGCTGCATTTCGTCTATTTTCGCCCCCGGCATGCGGCTCAGTGCCTCAGCATTTGTATGTGTTTTGCCAGGTTTGTGTATAATCTCAAACTGATATTCTTGGAGCGCTAAATTCCAACGACTTAGTCTTGAACTTTCATCTCTAACGTTTATGAGCCATCTAAGGGGTATATGATCCGTAATTATCTCAAACTTTTCCCATACAAATAGCGTCTAAAATGTTTGATTGACCATATAACAGCTAAACATTCTTTCTCTGTGGTACTATAATTTCTTTCAGCTGGTTTGAGCAATCTGCTTGCATAAGCCACTGGAAGTTCTCCACGTTCATCTTTCTGTGACAATACAGCACCCATCGCAGTGTTTGATGCATCGGTTGCCAAAATAAAGGGGCTATCGAAATCTGGTGAGTGCAGTAATGGGGCTGATATTAATGTCTCCTTTAACCTCTCAAAAGCGACTTTCTGGTTGTCTGTCCAATGGAATTTCTCACCCTTCTTCAGTAAATCGGAAAGGGGTTTCGAAATCTTTGCATATTGGGAAATATGTCGTCTGTAGTAACCTGTCAAACCTAAAAATGCTCTAACGTCCTTCTTACTTTGTGGTCGGGGAAAATTTTTAACGCACTCTATTTTTGCTGGGTCAGGTCGGATTCCTTCTTCCGACACCTCGTGTCCTAGGAATTTTATTTGTCGTTTCAAGAAGATACATTTTTTTGGTTTAAGTTTTATCCCGGCACTTGCCAGACGTTGAAAGACTAATTCTAAACGCTCTAAGTGTGATTTGACGTCGGAACTAAACACTAGGATGTCATCCATGTAAACCAGACAAATTTTGTGTTTTAAACCCGCTAGAATCAAATCTGCTAGGCGTTGGAAGGTTTGTATTGTATTGTCGGCGTGCTTACAAAGTTCGTGGGACTTAAAATAAATCCCTTACTTCTGACACCACTGTAAGAACGCCTATTGGGGGGGGGGAGATTTTTATTCCCTTTCGTCGGGATGGTCTAAGGTCTACGCGTATATGGGTGGCGGTTTTTAAAGCAGCAAAGACAAGTGTTTCACAGAGGTAAACCGTTTATTCCGGACGATAATGCTTACATAAAGTCTCTTGTTGGCAAGATCCTGTGTTGTTGGGAAATTTCGATTCTGGTACCGGTATTGCGTCGTCGGTAATTGCGGCGGCGATCTTATTCAACGTCGTAGGGTTTTCTGGACAGTGTTGAGAGAAAAAAGTTCAAAGTCTCTAACGTCGGTGCACAAAAAGAAGAACGGAGACGACACTAACACAACAGAAGTCTAGTGGAAGCTTAGTGGAAATCTTAGTAGAAGTTCTGTTGTCTTTGGAATTGCGTTTTTATAGGGTTTTTGCGATCGGCTTCTTGTTAATTGGATAGATCTTACATCACTGTTTTCCAATTGGTCATCCACCTGCCTCCAGGTGTAAATAGAGCTTCGTAAAGCTCGCGGGAAAGGTCGGCTGGAGATGGTTTATCCGACACCATCTTTTCGAATCTGATCGCGTTTAATTGTTGATTATGACACCTATGCTTTTTGATATTTTATTTTTTTCTTCTTTTTTCTAGTTTCGTTTTGCTTTCTAAACTGCGTCTTAACTTTAATATTTTAAATTTTCTTCTTTTATATCTAAAATTTTGTTTTTCCCGTTATTCTTTATGAGCGCTGACGTCAAAGTCCGGTATCGCCAAGTCGATACTTATATAATTTGCTTTCTTGACGATTTAACTTAACAAACTTTCTTTTTCTTATATCTTTCCCTTTTGCGGGGGCTATTTCTGGGTCCTCACACAAGCATGGACAGCTGCAACGTCTTTATCCACTATCCAGAGACGTGTGGAAGCATGGTTACAGCATTCTATTATATACACAAATTATATATTTTTATAGTTATTAAATAAATAAACAGTATTATACAATACATAACTGTATAATATCATTAAAGATGTGAAGAAATAGAATCGATAAAGGGTGGCCCAAAAGTCAGTTAATGGTGTGTGTTACATATTGACTAAACTGCGTTTAGAATATTTTTATCAAATGCAAAAACATCAAATATATAATTGAATTAAGTCAAATTTAAAAATTTAAAGCGTCAAAAAGCAAGAAAAAAATCTTGTAAAAATGCTAGAATAATTGCTTTTGTGTGATAATAAAGTGTTTATATTTTGTCAACAAATTGTATAAACTACGTGGGAAGTAAGTTCTAGTAAATATTGCATTTATGGGCTGCAATTTGAAAAAATTGTAGACCTATAAATTCCAACTGTCGTCTCCCCTGTCTGTCTGTCCTTTCTTTATCTCAAGAAAGATTAAGGAAGGAGACCAGATGTGGAAAGAATAGAGACAGGAGGTCCAGATTAACTGACGGGATTTAGATGACCGGCACGACTTTATTGCTAACAGGAAAAGTATGATGTTTAGGGGCATGATTACCACTAAAAAATTGAGAACATTCTGACCAAAAGTCGCAGCCCGGCATTGTGACGATGTCGTAATAAATAATTGCTGGTTAGATTGAGTTTGGTTTATTTGGTTACTGCAACACAACACGTGAGTGATCTGTCGGGGAGATGCTTTTTATGGGAAGTTGAACCCTATTTAGATGAAGAAAACCCTGAAAATTGCACATGGCCAACCCGTTGGCCATGCCCGAACTCATGACTAACCACCAAAATTCGGTGGTTTTATGCACTCGGCTACTGGAGGGCCCTTATTAGAAAGTACCGTTATATCTTTTTTTTTATAAGAATTATATTTAGCTTACTATTTAGTTAAATTTTTCCAATAGATGGCGCTACGCGTAAACCAGCAAATCTAATGGAGATAGAAATGAATTAATTCACAGAAATCAAATAGATATTTTAGGGTGGGATGTCGACATTATCTAAGTTAGCGGTATATTAAAACATAACTGCCAAGTTTCGTAGCAATCGGTCGAAAGGCCTAGGCGTGTATAGCGAACAAACATCCAAACAAAACATTCACTCTCTATACTATACTCTCTCTCGTTTATATGGAGAATGCAGCCTATGATCGCTTTTTCTCCGAATTGCAGCGCCACCTATTAGGTGAAGCGACCCGAACGATGAATATACTGTTCTAGAAGGTGTATATGATACCTCGAGGACTAAAACATTCACATTTATATCAGCTTAAGTCTTATTATAACTCTGAATATGCAGGCAATCTCCGGCAGATGGCGTTTAAAAAGTAATTTTTCTATGGGAATTTCAAAAGCTCGTAATTTTTTTTTATTAGAAATAAATTAGAAAAATTTGATTTTTGATATCGATTTAAAATGACAGAAGAATATCACGATTTTTATTTTAAATTTAAAAAAATTTTAAATATGATTTTTTACAACACCGGAAAAAAGTGTCCGCTAGGCGGAGAGTAAAAATTTTAAAAAGTTTCAATTCTTAAAAATATTTTATAAATTTTTTATTTATTTATAGAAAAACCGCTATTTTTAAATGTATAAAAAATAATTTATATCTCAAATTTTGGAATTATAATTATTTGAATATATAAGTAATAACAATCGAGGTTGGCAACACGGGTGAAACGATAGCAGAAACAGTTGTGTGATGAGTCAGTTGACGAATGCATATTTTACATTTTAATAATAATAAATCATAATGTAGTGTCAGTTTTTCCATAAGCAAAAATAAAGATTCTTAATTGTCATTTTTGCTTTTGTCATCGCGTGTCGTCGTCATTTTAAAATGTCGGTGAACGATCCGTTATTGAAAGAATTGAAAGGTTGGATTTCATGCTTTATTATTATTATTATAAAATATAATAATTACATTTCGGTAAGCTCTCGTATCATTGTGGTGACATGCACAAAGCCTGTACACGAATTTTAATGTGTTTGCGTGCCATTGATAACTTTAGTTACAGTTTTCTTAATTTTAACATTGTATAATTATAGGTGAGGCTGACTTGATAGCCAGGAAAATCTAATTTTTGAATGCAAATACAATTTGTACAAATATTGTCTGCAAAACTTACAGCACAACCATTTTATTCAGTCTATGTTCTCTTTATTGCAATAACAGAACAACAACAACAACACAATACCGGATATATAAACAAAAACACTACTCACAAAGTCGACCCAAAGCACAGCGAGTAAATGGTTGCACGAATGTTTTCGTCTACCTTCGTATAGACGTCGTCGGGTGGAATATTACGATTCTATGAGAAAATTCTTCATTTACAATCACACACGCAGCTTAGTAGGTGTGGTGATTCTAAATGAAGAATCTTCTCGTAGAATCGTAATATTCCACCCGACGACGTCTATATGAAGGTAAATGAAAACGTTCGTACAACTGTTTATTTGCTGGATTTTGGGTCGACTTTGTGAGTAGATTTTTGCAATAACAGATTTATAATATTTGCTTTTCCTGCTATACAGATTACTAGTAGGGAAAAAAGTAGAAAACAGACTTAAATTATAAAAAGTTAATTATCTATAGGATATAGTACCGGAAATAAATTACAAAAAATAATACTTCTTTGTAGTGTAGAGTGGCAGTTTACGATTGCTGATCTGCAGATAATATTTGTACTGAAGCTGGCATAGTTGGTCATTGGTGTCATTTAATTAGTAATCTAGAATTACTGCATGTACTTTGTTGGGTGCAGTAATTCTAGATAAGCATAAATAAACATAATGTGTAGTCACTTACGGTTTCTTGATCCTTGTAAAATTATCCATAATTTAACTGGTCTGCCGTGAGAAAAAGTTGAAAAACACTGGTGTAGAGTGTGATTTTGTCGTGTAACTTAGATTTACTAGAACTTCAGATTGGTTTTCTTATACCAAAGTGTAGAAAATCCCATATATATAGGATAGGAGTTCCTATTGTTGACCACTTCTGATAGACAATCATGTAAGTCGAAATCCTTGAATAATTAGTCTGTCGAAGCAGTTTTAGGCAAGCCATCCTCACAAGAAGCGATGTAAGACACCACTTTCGTGATGAAATGCAAGAATAACGAGTTGTCTCACTTGTGGTGATGGGGAAAAATTAGTGCAAAACACCCCTTCTGGTGGTCGATCATGTAGTGAGGCCTTACTGGCCTTTAGAAGATAACGAGGGCTCCATGTTCTGGGTACATGTTTTCTACGAAATGTCCATTATTGAGTTTGCTTATCCTTTCCCAATTGCCACATTTGTGAGGTTCTCAATGAAGGAAAATGCAATTGTCAATAGCCATAAACGATCGTGCACTTGCTAGTTGACTACGTGATGAACTGTGATTTAACTATTTTTTTTCATAATGTAAACAAAGGTCTGATAAAAAAATAGCTTTTCCATGACAAATACAGAACAAACTTTTTTCTCATGTATAAATTTTGCTTTTCATGTTATTACATGTTGTAATAAAAAATATTAAAGTCTAAAACAGTGTTAAATGGTTGACCATTGGTGCCATTAACTTATCTATATCATATTTTGAGACAAAATTTTCTATATGGCGATTTTTAGAAAAAATTAATTTTTCATAGTTACTATTGTACAGTACAACATATTGATCAATGTAAAGGATTAAATGAAGGATGTTTAACAGTCCAGTGCTTTTTAACAATTGTTCATCATGTTTCAAAAGGCAAATAATTTTTCATAATTTAATCAGAAATTTGAAGCTTCTATTGAACTTCTTGTATGCATGTGAGAATTCTGGTATGTCTGGTTATGTTGAACTCGAAGAAAATGTTAATGTTGGACAATGGTCAATTTCTAAAATGACACTGCTGTACGAGCAAACTTTGTGTTAAAGGCGTTAAATCATCTCAAAAGGTATTTTGTTGTTGAAGATCAAACTTAAAACTGATGACTTAATCAATGTGGCCATAGTCTGTCTTTACTAGTGATTATTGTCATTAATGTTTTTATTCGAAGATTGTCTGTTGCTTTTTAAATGATCTCTTGCCTTTCCGAGGTGTTCATTTTCTAATAATTTTTATAATTTAGACTTATCAAGCTACTTAAAAGATTAAAATTTAATATAGTTTTGGAAAGGAACAATGAATAGAAAATTGTTTTACTTCTGTTTTTTGTTGGTTTTTTTGTATTATGTTATAAATTTCTGACCAGATTTCCAAGGTGGCAAAATTGTCTTTCTACTATGAGAGATCACTTCACATATAAGACAGGCCAATTTTTGAGCTATTTTTTGGATAAAAATTGCATCTTATATGCTATAAAATATTGTAAATAATTCACAAATAAATTAATAGTAAAAAATACTATTCACATTTAGCTAAGTCAAGTAATCAGAAGTTACAATTCACAAATTCAAAAAACTTGGTACACAATAAAAATAACTTTTACAGAATGCAGAACATAGAACAAATGACAAAATCATAAAAATTTTAAATATTCTATGTATGCATTATAAAAAATTTAAATAAGTAATAAAATGAGAGAAATGGAACATAAAACAAACTTGACTGATTGATTTGTTGATGTAAAATACTAATATATTATTTGATTATATAACTGATATCAATGTTTCCCATTGCAATCAGGCTCAATCCACAATGAAATTAGTCAAACAATGAAGAATAGGGCCCCAATCTATGTTAAAACCTTGGTGAAAAATCTCCAAGGCACAACCAAGGATTGAAATCTGAGGTTATATAAGGCTAACGAATTTTCTAAATGGTCATTAGGAAACTTTATCTGGCCTGACTCTTGAATAAAAAATGTTACTTTTTAATTAAACATTACTACTACTATTACTAATTTTAATTATTCAAAAAACTAATTATTATAAATATTAAAGATAGGTAACATGAATCAATTATTCATTGAATGTTTGTCATACATGTCCAGTGTAAAAGTATATATTTTGATTTTTTTTTTAACCAGAAAAACATTCCACATACTTCATAAGTTTTATAAAAAGTATATTGAATTATAAAAATAAATAAATATTTGAAAATATAAAAATTCAAAGTTGCAGTATTGAATTAAGATTTTTAATGTGAGCTTTGTGACTGATGAGAAGAAATATATTTTTATATATCTGGCTGGAAATATGTTAAATGTAATTGAAGATATATCTTTTTCTCAATATTCAATCATTTTAGCACTTTTGATATTAGATGAATGGCTATTAAAACCTGATTTAACCAATATAATATGAATATTTTACTTATTTCATTTAAATCAAATAATATGTTAAATGAAGTAGGTGAATAGATAAATTTATCGGAAATAATAAATGTAAATTTTTATATTAAAGTTAACAAAATTTTTCAATAGATAAGTGCTTTAGTTTTATTTTAATTATATTTTTCTATTTAAAGGCCATGTGTTTGATTTAAGAAGATATTCTTTGAGTGCAGAAGTAACTGATAGCAATGCATGTCTATTGCCGTTTTGTGAAACCCTTGAAACTATACTCAGAAAAGGACTCAAAAGTAAGTTTATTAAAATTTTTATGATATAACCATTCATTTTTAAAATTTCAATAAAAAAATACAAAATATATTTGTCATAGCACAATATCAAACAAATATTTAATCAATCTTATCTATATCAGTTGCTCAATCAATCAATGCTGAAATCAAAAAATCGTTTTGAGAGAAATTAATTAACATTTTATGATTTTATTTTAATTTCATTTTGTTAGTAAATTAATTACAGTAATACCCCGAACTTACGTGATAGGTGGGACCGAGTGATAACTGCATAAGTTGGGGTATAATTTCGCATATAAATACATACAAATAATTTTTGATTGGGGCCAGAGACTAAAAAAAGCAATAATTTAGTAAAAAATGTTTAATAAAATCTTAGATAATACATATGCATAACATATTATATTATCATACAATTTTTCACAATTACTTGTTTATCACACCATAATTTTAACATTGTTTCCATCTCAGCGATAATACCATGACATTTACGAATGATGCTTGAATTTAAAGATTGAGCATTTTTCGCAGTTTCGAGAATTTTTTCTTTACCTTTTATAATTGTTCTGACCGTCGATTCCGGTAGATCAAACTTTTTTGCTAATTCACAAATTTTCATTTTTGTATCGAAGTCTTTAATAATGTTAACTTTACATTCCAAAGATAAAGTTTTTATTTTCTTGTTTGATGCAGAAGAATCAGTTCTACTTCATTTGGATGACATAGCAGAGTCTTTCGAGTCTCCATAGATAAAACAAACACAGAAGTAAATAACACAGAATAAATTGTAGCTAGGTGTTGATTCCGCACGACATTTCCGAACATGTAAGCTGAACAAAAGAGTGAGTAATCAAGAGTCGCGTGGCGCTCAAACAAAAGACGAATTGGCGAGATTTGAAAGTCGCGTAACTCTGGGTTTGCGTAAGTCGGGGTAGCGTAAGTCGAGGTATTACTGTATTTGAATGTTCTGTTTTTATTGATTAATGAATTTATTGGTAGTACTAAGTTTATAAATGTTTTATAGGTGTATCATCAGCATTTGGTCGCAGTAAAAGAGATTATTGGCATTGGATTGAAAATTTACATTCTGAAAAAAATCATGAAAAGTAAGCTATCATAAATAATAATTACTAAATTTCAATACACTGTTTATTTATTTAGGATTTTCATATTAAAGTTATACTATACCTTAATATGATTAAACAAACAAAAATTAATTCATTTCACAATTGCATATTTGGAATCATGTATAATTCCATGTTTCGTTTTTACAATATAAAATTTGTATTGTAAAAATGAATTTTACTTTAAAAAAATTACTTAAGTAGTAAAGTTTGTTTCGGTGGTACCTTGTACTTTTTAATTCATTCCAGGAGGCTGTTTGAACTCTGAATTGTTCAAAATCCAAACCAATTTTTTCCGTTAGAAATAATGGAAAGTCAATCTGTTTCCAGACCCTAAATCAGGGGTGGCTGACAGTTTTTGCCCCCATGCCAAATTGGAAAGAAAACTTTTTTCACAAGCCGAACCAGAGGCTGTCCTAGGAAGATTTTGAGGTGGTGCGAGATCTCATTGTGGTGTCATCCCGTAGAGACTAAATTGTACATAGAGATTACAGATGCATTTTTCGCATTATCATGCTTTATCAATGTTCTACGCTGTACTTACGAGATTTGTAATGGAGGGTTAACTCTAAACGCACACTGAGTTGTTGTTGACCTTTTTTTTTAGGCGTTAGAATTTTTCACTGATCTATTCTGACTTGAGTACCTAATATTGAAAGATTGATCGCAGGCCACATAAATTCATTAGACGGGCTGGATCTGGCCCACGGGCCGTATGTTGGCCATGCCTGCCCTAAATGATACCCATTTCAATAAACTTAAAACAGCAAATACACATAATTTAAGGTTAAAATAACACAACTAAATGCCCTAATAATAAATTAAAATGTGAAAACAAATAAAATACATAAATGATGTAAAATAAAATGAAAATTGCATTTATTGGTTGTGCACCATAAATTTTGGTGTCTTAAACATGGCTACCAGATCCTATTATTATGCTTTGCAATAAGTTTCTTTTTCACATTAATGGTAAATAATACAACCTTCCTCTTACACTTCATTGTTTCCATATGCTTTTTGGATACCTTAGTTAATAAGTAAAGGTTATTTTGAGTTGAATAGAAATCTGTTTAATTTTAACAACTGTTCTTATTTAACATAGATGTGTGATTTAATTAAAACAGTTCTGAAATTTAAGACATTATTTCTAATGTGAGATTATATTCTTTCTTTAGAAGCTTATTTTAAACTTCACATTTTGTTCTATAAAATTGAGTTGGAATGTCTTTGAATAAAAAGCATATCAGACATATTATGCTTTGAGTTTTTTAAAGGATATAACATTGTAGAAACAGTAAAAACTTTGTAATATGAAAATGTTTTTGAACTTTGAACATGTCAAATATGGTTTAAAAAAGTTCTATTTGGGAAATTTTGAATTAAAGATCACAAACCATATGGGGGGCCTTTCGTTTTGTAACCTAGTAATGGAACATAAACTGTCAAAGAAGAAAAATTTCAGGAAGAAATTGTTAAAAATTTTTTCACTGTATGCGCAATTGAAACTTTGAGGCATCATTCAAACTGATGCATTTGAAGTTAGTTGTTTAAAGTGTCAGGTATCACTGTATTATTTGTGTCAAATGATTCATCATTGGTTTTTATATAAATAATGTTTTCTATATTTTATATAAAAATTAGACCTTTTCTCTGATTTAAAATTATTGTAATTAGCATTTGATATTTTTTTATAATTTGATCATTTTTAACTAATTTCAGATTGATATCACTATCACTGCAATAAAATATTTCATTTATTTGAAATGAAGATAAAATTTTAATTATGTTGCTACAGATAGCATCAAATATATATACAGTCGACCCCCCTATAACACGGTAGATACGTTCCAGTTTTTATGAATCCATTTTCTACGAGTCCAGCCAATCACAGCCCGGCACGTATGCAGTTTACGGGCTATGGTTGTTTGAAAGGTTTTCTTCCATAAAATTAATTGATTCTAGACTAATTCGACTCAACATTTCCAAAATACGTATAATTTTTTGGGAATAATCCATATAAACTATGCTATAAACAAAAAATTGTAGGATTACTTACCGAGTGTGCACCGTTCAACTATTCCATTGCTTAAGTTTGTTTTCGTCATGGAGTGGTGCATCGAATGGTGGGCATGTGCTTCCTGATAAATTTTTTTTTTTTGCGAAAAATTCGCTGAATTTGGAGACATCATTAATATAAATATAATTTTTATGGACGTTAAATAATAAATGGTTTTTAGTAGGTCCACTGCTCGTTTAAACTCAACAGTTTGTACAATATCCNAGACATCATTAATATAAATATAATTTTTATGGACGTTAAATAATAAATGGTTTTTAGTAGGTCCACTGCTCGTTTAAACTCAACAGTTTGTACAATATCCACTATTGGTCTAGATTCTACCAATCCTGTCGTGACACGAGTCAGCGATGACGTTTTACTGAATTATACGAGTTTTTTTAGCATGTTTGTATGAATACTGTTGCAATTTTTTTGCCGTGATATAGGAATCCGAATTATAGGAACCCTTGTTATAGGGGGTCAACTGTATTTGCTATTATTTGAATGTGATTAAATCATTGTCAATTTTTTAATACTAAACTATACTTATTACTTAAAATTTGTAATAATAATATAAGTTATCAAATATAAAATGAGTGTAACAAGTAAATAGCAATGTATATTTTACAAAAATTAACTTTTATTGTTTGAATTCATTAAAGGTTATCATCAGCCATTTGTGACTGTATTAATATTGTGAAGGAAAATAAGAAGGTTTCTTTTTTAAATATTTATTTATTTTTACTTTTGTCAATATTTGTAGCCATATTAATATTGCTAATTTAGGTCCATCATAGCCAAGGAAAAGGAAGATTATTTCTTCGTATTGCTATGATGAAGAAAATTTTGTATAAGACCTTGGAGTATTTTTTACATAACAATGACAATATTCAGGTAAAATATTCAAATATTTTAAATTCTAAACTATACATGTATGCATAACATTAATCAAAACTATTTCACTTATTAATTCATTTTAATTAATTAAACATTAAATCTTATTTCTAGTTAGCATATGAAAAAGATTCAATTATGTGTGATGAAATCTTATCAGGTAATAAAATTATGCTTTTTAATTTAACTAGGTTATCATTTTATAAAAAATTGGATTGGAATAATAAAAATATTTTATTATTTAATTGAATAAAAATTTTTTAATCATAAAGAGAATGTAAAATGTCAAACTGTCCATATAACAACATCAATGATTGACACTTTTAAGGTAACATATTTATAAACGAACTTGTACAATTTTATTGTGTAAAGCTAAGACTGTATTTTGTTTTTCCTATAATACATGAAGTTATGCCATATTTAGAAGTTACAAATTAGAAAATCATAATTATTTTTCTGCAAAAAAAATTAATAAACTATATTTTTTAAATAATTGACACTTGAGAACCTAGTGATTGTCAGACATTTCCCCAATAATTAACACAGTTCACATCATTACAGACAGACATGTTAAACAACAAGATTTCCAATTAAAAAGATATTTTAATGAATTATGCTTTTGAGATGTATTATCACTTCAACCTAGATTTTAAACATCTCTGTAAAACATGGAGAAAAAGTTATCTTTATAATAAGAATATTGAGCTGTTGACTAAACATTATTACAAATGAGCAATTATTTATTGTGACATTATTACAATGCTGGGCTGCAATTTTTAATCATATTTTTTAATTTATTTAACTTAAAATATATGCTCTTTACCTCAAATTAGTAGTCACTTGCTCCTGTACATCATACTTCTCCTTTAACAATAGAATTGTGCCTGTCATCTGTCTAACACCTTTCAGGGGAAATTTTTAAATTAAAATAACATGACTTTTGTTTTTCATCGGAAGTTCATATATAGTTAATTGGGGCCTCCTGTCCCTAAGGTTTCCATATCTGTCTTATCTTTTATCTATCTACCTCCATTCTCAAGATTAAGGACAGACAGACATATGGACAAATGACAGTGGGCATTTATAGGTCTACAATTTCAAAAAATTGCAGCCCAATAAGAAAACAGTAGCAATTCTAATTTCTAGAGATAGAAAATTAACTAACACAAACTAGAGAAAACTGTAGGCCTACTTGGGCCTGCTTAATTTATATTATACACAGAAAGGGAAACATTGAAACTTAATTCTCTAGGCCCCAGATTTGGTTCAGCTAAAATTTTTATAATGTTTCTGTAATGACATTTCAGTGGTTCAGAAATTTTATTCTGAATCATTGAAATATTATTGCAATCAGCATAATATTTTTAATTATTTTTCACAATTGAAAGCTCTGTTAAAATCCATGTGGAAACCTGAAGATTGGTTTATTCTGAGAAAATCCGACTTTTAGCTTCCATTTCTTCTATAAGATCATGAAAACAGATTTCAGCTGCTGCTATCATGAAGTGTTACTTTAAATCTGAACTTGAAACACCATTTAGAGTTTGAAGCTTGGACCTATCTTCATGATTGGCCCTATTTTTCTTTCAATTGGATTTTTTCCAGAGGATTTATACACCAAAAAATCTGGAATGAAACCAGAAGGAAATATCTTAACAAAAAAAAAAAACCATTAATTGAGAAAGTTTATCCAGTGTTTGACATCTAAAGTCAAACATTGGTGAGATACAGATATTGAAACTGATAATTGACACTATATGTTTTTTGCCTTAAATAGTTATTTGCATCTTTAGGCAGTATTTTTAAATAATTTTTCACTATTTAAATTATGGAAATAAAGTAAAACATTTTAAAAAAACATTTAACAACAATTAGATGTAAATGGATTTTCTTTGCTTTGCTCCTTAACAAAAAATTAAGGTCTTCTAGCTTCACATACAAGCTACAACTAAAATGCCTTTTACCACATCTCTCTCTCTAATGATCAAAAACTGAACTACATCAAATCACTTAGTAGTAATAAAAATAATTTAGGACTGCTAATACAGTCTAATGTTAATAATAATGTTAATAATGTTTAAAGCATCATTTACTAGGAATTTTAGTATTATTTATCAATCACTGGGTCTAAGTCAAACACTGGTGCCATATTTCGTTTGGGATAACAGCTGCCCCAAACAAACAACACTGCTCCAAGAGAAAAGAGCCACCAACATAATACTAAAAAAAAATAAAATAATTACCCTAGTTTAAATTTAAATGTTTTTAGGTTTTTTTTCTTATTGCTTTATTTTCAAAATTCTTTGGCAAAGTCAAACTTGCTTATGCCTTTGTCTAATTATTCTTAACGCTTTTGAAGCAGATAGCTTTTTTAATTTATGTGGAAATGTGTGTGTGGAGTTTTTGCTGTAAATTCTGTACTGAAATAAATTTAAAATAAATCTAATAATGACTAATTAGTCAAAACAGAAAGATGACTAATGTAATTTACAAAATTGATAAATGAGTAAATATCTGTAATGAGGCTTTATCACTCTATCTAGTAATCACTTATGCAATTTTACAGTTATTACAGCTATTACATTACAGATATTTATTTGTTTATCAATTTTGTGAATTGTAATAATAAGGGCTAAATGTTTTACATAAAATAAGACTAATATATTCTGAAATTTTGTAGAATTTGTAGAAACAGGCACTCTCAAAATACTCCTGATTTGGAAAAATGTGAAATTAATTTTGTTACTTATTATTCCTAATATTTTACAGGATCTGACATTGTATGTGATAGTTATATTAATTTTCTGAAAATTTTATTTATATGACTCTGCCAAAATATATTTCTTTATTGTCACTTTTTAAATTGATGTCTTAGATTTTTAGTAATTATTTTGCCCAAGTAATTTTCATTATTATATAAAATCGCAATTTCATAAAGACTTTTACATTATTATTTAATAATATAATTGAATAAAATGTCATCACTTACTTAACATTCCTTAAACCATTAACTGTATTGNTCAATATATATATATATATATATATATATATATATTTAGAGATTGTCAGATAATTATTGTATGGTTGAAAGCTGTTAATTAAAATTAAAAGTTTTAATTCATTATATAAAAAAATACTGTGTTTGAAATTTTTATATTCCAATTAAGACATTGAACAAAATTATTTTAAAATTTATTATTAATTTCAGAGATTTTTCTTTCATTGATATATGAAGTAAATAATGTAAAATTCAAATTGACATTAAAGGTAAAAAAGTTACAATTTTTCTGTAACACTTTCCATTGTTTAACATATATATATAAAAATAGATAAATGCAAACTTTTAATTTTTAGAATGCAAGTTTTCTTGATGAAACATGGCAACTTGGAGTAAGTAAAATTTGCATAGAGTATTTGTTTTGCTACTTTATTATATATTACATTCATTCATAAAAATTTTATAATCATTATACAGATATAGTTTATAATTATAAATGTTTTTGATCTTCACATAATTCCAGAAAAACAACCAATATTATTGCCCAATATTGTATAACAATTGACTTTAAGATTCTTTTTTTTTTTTCTATTTTATATTTATACTCTCTATAAAATTATAAAAATGTGCAGAAATTAGAGTTTCTATAAGTGAGAAGCAGTTATCAAAATTTTTTTAATGTTATTTTATGACATCTTTTAGAAGCTTTTTAAAATATTTTAAAATTAACACTGATATTATTTGCACTATTAAAACATTATTTGTTTTAACATTGTAGATAACTATTATTTACTTAATAATTGTATTTGGAATAATTACATTTTATTTTTCAAATTAAAAACATGAAAAATGGATGTGATGTAAATTTACTTCTCTGAAAACTGCACTTGTAATAAACCACAGTACAACTGAAAATGTTTGATAATTAAAATTGTACTGAATGTTAAAGTCCAAATAGTAGTACTGTGATATAAATTCTTATATTTAAAAATATGTAAAATAAATTATATATAATAATTTTTATATATCAAATTATTACATTAATATAAGTAATAATGTATTTATTGTGTGAACATATTTCTCCATATCAACTCTTAAAATTTTATGATTTGTTTTTTAGGTATATAAAATGTATGAATTTGTTCCATGCAAAGATTTGGGAATGAGTTTAGGGTAATTATTTTTATAATTCTAAAGTATAAATTTAGTGCTGAAACTGAAGTTTAAAAATGAAATATTTTTAGGTTTGTTAAAGGAAGGCCAATTGTTGTCAATGTCGAAAAAGGAAGTGTTGCTGCTGAAGATGTAAATATGTAACATTAATAAATACTTATTTCTTTTTAAATTTTTAATTATTGAGATAAATACTTATAAAAACGTATAAATATTAAAGAAAACATGTATAAACAAGAATAGTATAAAATGGCATGTTCTTTGAAAATAAATGATTTGTTAGAGAACAGCAAAGCATTTTAAGGAAAATTAATATTCAGAGTGATTTGTTCAAAAAAATGGATGCTATGAGTGTAGTTAAGTACAAAATGTTTTTGGTAATGTCTTACTGATATCTGAACGATATTAAATTTTTGATTAATATTATAAAAAATTAAAAACAATTTAGTTTACTATTAATTTCTACAAATTGAATTCTAGGAGATCTTTATTCTTTAATCATCTTTTCTTTTATATATCTTCCCTTTCTATCCTCTCTTTCTATGTCATGGTTATTTAAAGGAATCTTGAGAATGTGAATTTCATCTAAACAAGCTAGATTGTTGTTACAAAAATTTAACGTCTTTGCATTTTACCTTTATCAGATGTTACTTTTTGTTTATAATAAATACAATGATAATGAAATATGACTAATATGAAATGTCTAAATGCTGCTTAGACATTTTGTTATCTATGTTTTGAACACAATAACTTTTTCAGTCATTTTTAATTTCTGAGCAAATTTAAATATACGGTATTGTATATACTTATAATATAGCATAGTTAGGTTTCGTGGTAAGTGCTAGATTTTTTTATACTTGGTACCTGTTTGATAGTAAATAAACTTCCTGAGTTTTATAAGAATAAGTAATGAAGGTGATCTTGTGATGTTGGCTAAACTTTATTCTGTTATTGATGAAGTATGGCCTAAGAAGAATGGATGTAAGAATTGCTGTTTTTAATTATATACTACATAACTAATTAACACCCTATTCAAATCATCAACAGTTGTATGTTTGAAGTAGTAAAGGTGTCAGTCTGTTGATCTGGGACCCGGGATTAAATCCAGGCAAACAATTTTATGAATTTTTCATAGATGTCCCAGAAATGTTAGGTCTTGACTTTCACCACCCAGATATCCTCACTGTGGATATTACTGAATCCATAACTGATCTGGAAAAAAGCCTATTAGTGTTCACAGAACAGAAAGAGTAAAAAAACCACAAATTCTTCAGAATACTTTGTAAGCACCTAAACATTTGTTTTGTCACTTTATATTATTAAAAAGTTTGATGTATCTAGTACAAAATGGAGACAATAATTTTTTTTATCTCAGTTGACACAAAAAAGTATTTTGTATTCATTTATGCTTTAGAAGGATAATGTAAGATTATAAGGAAATCTTTCCTTATAATCTTATAATCTTATAAGGAATAATCTGACATAATTATAAGGAAATCTTTCTAATTATGTCAGATTAAATATTCCCAGAGAAAATTACTTTTTCAAGCTAGCTTAAGGTAATTATCATCAATGATTTTAATTTAATATAATGATTTATAATTAGCAATAACTAATTCTTGATTAATTTTTTAAAAATATTTAAAATATCGTAAAAAGTAACAGTCTGAATAATCACAGTTACATTATGATAACCATTTCACACAAACAAAGATTCAGTCTTTTTCAACCTTTCAGGCTTCTAGAAGGATGGTAATATACTGTATGATTTAGCTTTAACTTTCAGACCAATGATTCATTTCTCTCTCTCTCTTATTTTAGATGTTTGTGCATATAGAAATTTCTGTTTTATAATAATAATAATAATGAACTAAATTATTAATACATCTTTATGTCTAACTAAAAATTGGCATTTTAAATTTAAAAATTTCCATGCATAAATTATATTTCGTCTAAATACAGATAGATCTGAATAATTTTTTCAATAACATGTCAAACTACTTATTGATATTGATTGTTGTTATTGGGTAAATACTGGTGATTATAATTAAAGTATATCTATTCAACACTTTCCAGAGAGAGATTTAGCAGTCTAAATGCAACCAAATCTGCAGTTTAAATGCTGCAGCCAAATTTAGATATAAAAAAATGGTCACTACTATTCAATGTCATTAGCTGTGATGGCCATTGTGAAGACCCCATAAAGTGGTTCACAGCCCTGATATCATATGCAGTGACGCAGTTGATACCCTTTTATGAAAGGAGTGAAATATCATGTGTTGGGTGGAGAGGGCACTGAGGCAGGACTCTGTTTATGTGAAACTTTTATTGGAGTAAAGTAAGACTTGCAATAATTCCACAGATACCCTCAGGGTACAAATTAAGTTTTTAGATCAGTCTCTACTGGATTCTGTGAGGAATTCTCGAAACTGATTTATGCTGATGATTGTTCCTTGATTGACAGCCCTGGTTAAGTTTTGTTCAGTGGAACTTATTAGGTTACTTTAGCTTAGCAGTTGACAGTTGGTCACTCAAAAGTACAGATCAGGAGCTTTTGTTGGAAAAATGCTTGAAAAACTTCTGACAGGGGCTATACTAAAAGAACATGACAAACAGAGAACTAGAACTTTTGTGAAAATTACTGGATCTTAGAGAAAGAATGGATATGTTTGTAGAAAAGAACCAGAGAATGGATCTTTGCAAAATGACTGGTCTTTCTGAAAGAACTAACATCCTTGGTCTCAATTCCTCATCCACACTTTCCATTTGGTCTCTACATATTTCCATGTATAACTTGAGACCAATTCATGCTGCAGGAAAGGTTGATAAATGATAATTCATTTATTATGACACTGAATTCAGATACCAACAAGAGATGGTTGATCTCAGGACTTACATTGTTTATTCATTCTTTTATTATTTTACAAAATATTTCTGTCTGTCTCTCTATCTTATTTTCTATAAAAAAAAAAATTAAATGTTGACAAATTTAATGAGCTCAGATTTAATCTGGAACCTTACACCATCATCTTACTGGAACATACATTTCTTGTGAAATTGTTTCATGAAAATAATGGCAATGCTGCAGCTGCATTTTGAGATCTTTACTGTTTAAAGAATTTATACTGAAGACCATTGACTCCACTAATTTTCAGGATAATGATCACTTGATTTAAGAAAATTGGATTCTTGGAAGTTCAGTCTTGTTGAGGTTGCAAACCTATCACTTTACAAGTCATTGAAGATGTTATCATAGCTGTTGTTGAACAGTCAATGAATAATGTTGCGGATTTGTATAGTGTATGCACAGTGTCACAGTAGTTGGATATCTCCTATGATACAGTGTGGAATGTATTGAAAAAATTGCAATATTATTTGAATATAATCAGCTACAACTGGCAGTTGCTTACCACTGATGGGAATTGAACTTTGCATTGATCTTCCTTGCTAGAATGGAAGTGGATGGGTTGTGACTATGGAAGATTACATGAAGGGACAAGGCACACTTTTACCTCAGTAAACAGTGAATGCTTGAAAATATCACATTTGGGCCACAGAAAACTCTCATGTTTCCAACAGATTCCACTGCACTTACCTAAAGTTAGTCTGGTGTTGATTCATAGCCACATTTATCCTTGGATTATTCTTCTTCAAAAAAGCCCAATGGATCTATGACATGTTCTATGATAGCCCAGATATATCAAGAGATGTTCAACACTTTTGTTGTACACCAATTACAGCAGTAACAATGCCTTGAGTCAACTATTTTCATGCATAATGCTTCCTCATATTAGATGCTTTAGAATATAGCAGTTGCTGTGGCAACATTCTACTGATAACAGAGTGACTAGTGATACATTTCCTACTGCCTGACCACTTTGTTTTTTAGATGTTAATCTGTATAATTTTTGATTGTGAGGATGCTTAAAAAGTGTGGTTTATCAAGGACATGTTGCAGATTTGAAGCTTTGAAATACAGTATCACATAGCAAATAAAATTTTTGTTGTTTTCATTGTCAAAAATACCATACTGGTGAGTTTTATGTTGTCATAGTAGCAGTATCAACTTTTTTATGGAAATGTTTTCTGCAAGTCTTGAAATGCTGCCATGCCAGATTTTGTTGCATTTAAACTGCTAAATATCTCTCTAGACAACATCGACTAGGGATATTTTAATTACAATCACCTAGTGTATAATGTATATGTTGAGTTTATATTTTGTATGTTATTTTTTATTAATAAAGTCTATACTTGAATAAATGAATTGGTAGTAAATTATTGAGTTTGTAAACATTATTTTCTCGAATAGTTTCATTAAAAATTCAAATTTAATATAATTTAGATAAATTTTTAATATTTTGTTTTTTTATAGTCAAATTTGTAATTAAAAGATAAAATATCTTGTTTAATATATATATATATATATTTATATTAAAGTTTAAATATGCATGATGTTAAAAAATATGTAATTCAAATATTTCAGGATCAGATTGAAGTAGGAGATATGTTAGATGAGTTATATGGAAAGCCACTCTATGGCTGTAGAAAAGGAATGATATCTTCTTTATTAAATACTTTTCAAGGATTGCCTATTTATATATGTGTTGTAAAGGTAATAAAAGTTTTTGTGGATTATTTATAATCTGTTGTAATGAATGGATATTAATTTTTTAAATTATCAAGTTAAAATAGAATTATTTAGTTTCTGTTAATAAACATTGAAGATGAAATGAATGTTTATATTGAAAATCAGTGTTTGATATGTTATATTTGCATTTTATATTATTCTCTATGTATGGAATCTTACAGAAGATAAGAGTAAATATACTGAATTTTAAAACAATGTGTTTAAAAGGAAGATATAACAAAAATATTTTAAAGTATATATAATTTAAAACAAAAAATTTTTAATATATACAATTCTGTTTTTGTAACTATTTCTATTCAGTATGAAGAAATTGAAAGTAAAATGATGGCATAACCAATCACTAATATGAAATTGTGTAAAAGTTTCTGTAGTTTTAGTATAACTTTATCACAGTAATGTATATAACATAATTTTAAATTTTCAGTATTTATTTTTTATTACTGAGTGATCATTACATGCAAAAACATATGACTTGCTTGTATTTTGTGACTTCAGTACAGCACAGAAACTGAAAGGCAATGAGATTGAGGCTTTTCTGCAATGTTTAGCAGTGCTGCAGAGTAGTGTCTTAAGGGGTAACTAGTGTGAACATTAACTCCTTCTAGTGCTGAAACAATGTATTAGAAGGACTATTTATAAAACATTTTTGTACCCCTGAGGCCTCTAGAACATGCTGTAAAAATGTTGCCACTAACTTCCAGAATACCCTGTATAGCATGAGTGTTTTGTACAAATAAAATGTTTGTTGCTTGCAGCACCAAAAATGCCATTTTGGAGAATTTTGGTAATTTTTGTTTTTTGGAAATGTTTTCTGCATATTCTGTAATGTCATCATATTAAATTTGGTTGCATTTGGACTGCTAAATATCTCTAGAAAGCATTGAATAGATGTATTTTACTTACGACCACATTGCATGTATTGTTTTAATGTTAACACAATGAAATACTCTTTGTATATTAATATTATTATTTGTTTCATATTGTTAATATTTTATTATTATAAGCTGCTATATGTATTTTTCATATAAATCAGTATATTTCATTACAGTGCTTATTTTGGAATGGCTACATTTTTCCGCCTTTACGTCAGCATTTAATGCAGTTACATCTTAATGTTAATCAAATTGAAGAAAAGTTTCATCGTACATTAATAAAATTATCAGAACTTCAAGACAAAAATTTGGATTGTAAATTACCTCTCAATTCTCAATTGTCAAGACACGATAAAAGTGATATTTTTGAAAGAGAAACAGTGAGGTTGGATTATTTTTTTTTAATTCTAAACTTGATATATTAAGTATTTTAAACTAATCAGATATTAATACTTTAGTTCTGGTTATTCTGTTGTGTTTTTGGGGTGTGAAGTTGTTGGACAAGTAAGTATGAAAATTATTGATGAAGTAATTAAAGTAAAATGTAATGTTCTTATAATAAAATAAAAAAATAATAGATTTATACAATTATAGTTTAAATTAGAAATATATTCAGCTTGTCTCATCCTAGAATAAACAAGATATAACTAAATAATCAGTCAATCATAATTGTTACATAGAATACATATATACAATAAATTATTCATAGTATATCTAATTTAATTTAATAATATGATTTGTCTTTGTTATAATTAAGTGAATACTATGTTAGCATTTACTATATTTTTTGGAATGAAAATGTGTGAATATTTGTAAATTGAAATAAACTTTCTGAAATATAAAATTATTCTGGTCTTGTCATATAGTTTTACTCTGTTTTGGCAGAACTTCAACTTTAATATAAATATCAATTTTGTTAATTTATAAAATTGCTTTCACACAGGACCATGGAATGGCTGAAATTGGGAAAGCAATTGATAAATTTCAGAACAGTCAAGATAAAAAGGTAATTTAAACTTTTAATATTATGTTATTAAAATATTCAATTATTTTTAATAAATAATTTTATATTATTTATAAGGAAGCATATTTTTATATAAAAGAAATAAGGATTATAGCTACAGAGAAATTAACCAATAAGGTGAGACTATATAAGTTAAATTTATCAATTTTATAAATAAATAAATAAATATTTATTTATTTATTTTTTATAATACAACAATACAATAATCATTTCATTTCATAAATAACATTGCAAAATATTGTTTATATAGAAAAGAAATCATATAATTATTTTCCAGTGAATACATATTCTTAGTTTATTTGTATGACTAATTACAGTAATAACTATATAGCTGATAAAGTTTTGAAGGAAACTTTATTTTCAGTTTTTCAATAATTAATAAGCTTTGAAAATATGTATTTTGATCAGTTGCCATTAGTTCTTTTTCAGTTTTTCTAGAAAAATTAAAATTATATTAGATTCCATTTTCTTATTTTCTATTTTTGCACTTTTTCTTTCTTTTCGAAGGAAAAAAGTAATGAAATTCTTCTATTTAAATGGTTTTTTTCTGTCTTATCAATATTCTATTCTGAAATTGGATTAAGATTTTACTAAAATATTTAGCTATATCTTTAGCCAAATATTATAAAAAGCACATTGTTTATGCTTATGAATTCCCTGACTTCTTCAGAAAAAATTTCCATTTATTATTATTATTTTTTTTTCATATGAACCATTTAAGCTGAAGTAAAAATTTGTATTTATTTGAGACTATCACTATAGTAAAAATAACTTAAAATGTGACTAGTGATAGTCACATTTTAAGTTATTTTTACTACATGGCAATATTTGCATTTCTTGAAAATGTTTATCAATTATAGATAAATAATGCTGTATAAATAATCCACTTTGATGCACAGTAGATTATTTATAAAGCATTATCTATAGATGTAGAAAAAAGTATTTTTTTTCTCTGTAGAAATTAAACATACATTTACTGAAGTGTATGCGATAGATAATATCAATGCTTAGTTTGTTATTCTGTTCATTTGCTATTGTCCAAATAGTTAGTACTAAGATTGATACAAAAGAATGAAAAACAATTAGCTCTACTTCTTTTCCGGCAATGTGAATATTTGAGCTATGTTGATACAGAATGACAGATCAACTCTTAACATTTCTAAATTGTACAATATACCTATTAAATAAACTTGTATAACTGCTCACAGTTCATTATAGCAAACAAATCAAGCATTGCTTTAGAGTTTGATTGCTTTGATAATTTATACTATATTATTTACAGAATATTGTGTCTAAGCATTATACAGAAATATCTTCTTGTGGAAGGAGGACAGATTTTACTAAATATTTTGCATTTATTGCAGGGTAAGAATTTCAAAGCAAATATTTTATTCAATATATAAATTTTTATAATAATGACAATGGAAAGTATTTATAGTATAATATATTAAAATTATTTGTGTTTAATAAATAATTATCACATAAATAATGTTTCTTTTCAGTGAAACTTTATGCACAATTGCTAAAAATTTTGTTTGTTATGTTTTTGAAGCATCAACTATAGAAGAGGTAAATTTTTTGATATGATGATTCATTCATAAAAATCAAATTTGATAATTAATAAATATTATAAAGTAAATATTTACAGACTATTCATTTTTTTATGTTTTATTTCTAGTCTAAAGTAATATTGAGTCATATCGGTAAGTTTTGTTTTAATTCTTGTAANAATAAATTTACATTTTTACTGTATTATATAACTAATTTGAAAACATTTTATGGTAATTGTATTTACATTAAGTTAAAACAGTAGTAAATAAATTTACTATTATTATTGATTTGATATAAATATGAGAAACAAATTAATCAAAAATAAAAATATATATATATCTGAATTATTATTTTTTCTTTAAATTGCTAAAAAAAATTCTAAATAATTGAATTTCCTACGTTACCTTTGACAGTATAAAATAATAAAATGTAAAGAAATACTTGCAGGTAAATTTATATTTTCACTTCCAGTTTTTATATTCAAGTTATCTACGAAAGTCATGCTAGAGTAAGGTTCAAAAAAACTAACAGTAGAGCTTGTTTACATTTATATTTATAAAGTATCATTGTATATTCTGATGCGACGGCCAAATGGCTGCGGCGAGTAAGGTTCGCCGCATTCGGTTCCGAGGACCCGGGACCGGCGTCACACCAGGCCCACCGCAGAATAAAAGGTGCTCAGGGAACAAAAAAGTTAAACTTGTTTTAATTGAATAATATTTTAACATTCTTTTATGAAAATTATTTTTTGACAGTTATTACATTCAATGCACACTCCTTTAATTATTGTAGAGGAAACATGTTTTTGAGTTTAAACAGTTTTTATTTTAATCTTTATGAGAAATTACAACTTTATAATAATTAGAAACAGTATCTTGTATTTCTTTTTCAAAGGATAATGTTTTAAAACTTATATCCAGTATGATATAACCTAGTTCATTTATTTTACTCTATTTAAATTTATTAAAAGAAATAATAAATAAACAAATTATTTATTAAATTGACGCTATTTTACATAAAGCATCTGTCCAAGTTCTTGAAAAAAAATTTTTTTTATAGATGGTTATTATATAGATGTTTGATTATAAACACTACTATATTAGATTAAACAAATAATTTTATGTATTTTTTATTTATACATTTATTCTATAGAAATTAAATTAAATTTCCGTAACACTGTAAGGGTTAATAGAATCATCTTTCTTTTTTGATTTTTCTCATATTTGTTTTTACTAATGTAAATTATTATTCTTTATAAAGTAAATTATTGCAAGAACTATAATAAATCATTAAGCACAATTTAAATGCTAAACATAAACTAATAATCATTCTATTTCTGCTAAAAACATTTTCTCAGAATTAATCAATACATAGGATGATTCAAAAATATCTTTACAACTTTGAAAGCATATACAATTTTAACAAGAAGTCTTACAGAATCAGTTGAGGCAATAATTTATAGCAAAACACATCAAAGTTTATCAAACAATTATTATGATTTGAGTGGCACTGTGGTATGACAAACATCCTACTTGAATTCAATTTTTTGCCAAACTCAAAGCAGTATAACTAATGTCTCTTAAGTACCTCTAATTGTAATTTAAGTTTTATCTCAGTGAAATTTGTAGGCAAGGTTGGCATAAACATTAGAATTTTAATGAAATCTCAGAAGAAAAATTAAGAAGTGTCAAATCTTGGGGAAAAGGTGCCATGTTATTGATCTTCCTCAACCAATTCACTGACCTGAGAAATGTTTATTAAGGAAATCTGGACAGCTGTACAATAGTGGGATGGTGCACTGTCTTGCTGAAAGTGCATGTGACCTTCTGTGTCATCATCCTTTAATAGTGAAATGAGAAAATTTTGTAACATATTGGATATACTAGAAAATTTTCTCACAATTCGTGATACTGTTGTTAGTGTCCTCATAGAAAAACAAGGGACTGTACACTTTATCTTTGCCAAGAGCACAAAACATTCACTTTAGGATTGTTGCAAACATTTTTCATAATTGCTTGTGGACATTTTAGGCTCCAAATTCTGTTGTGAGTGTTCACTATCACTGGATGACATGTCAATTCATTACTGAAAATAATGTCCAGGATTGTCTCATCTTCCTCAATCTGATGAAACATTTCTGCATTGCATGAGACAAACTTGATGCGATTTGCTACAAATTAACAAATCAAATGATTCTGTAAGTTTTCTGATTAAAATTCTCTGTTTTCAAACTTTTTGAATCGCTTCGTAATTTTATTTTAAATTATCACAACTTTAAAATTTTTCTGAAATTTAGTTTATTACAATATGCATTCCATGCATCATATATATCAATAAAACAAATGCACAAAGATTATAAAATTGTGCCATTAAAAATATAGACATTATATATTTTCTAAAGAAAGTTATGAGAAGCTCTAACAATGTTAAATATTGATTCAGATGTGATATTGTATGACATGTAAATTCAAAAAATATATATATATTTATAATCAAAACACTAAATATTAAATTATTTTTAGAAATAACTTCCTGTTATATTATATAATTTAAATTATATTAATGAAAAACTATTTTAAAGATTTTCACTCAACATTTCCATACACAATACTTTAATTCTTGTAACTATAAATAAAAATCATTATATAAAGAATTCATGATCTCAGGATTATCTTCTGTTTTGATGTATATAATTAATTGCTCAAATATTTGTACAGAATTAAGGTTATGTACAAAAGTTAATTAAAAAATAATTATATTTTACCTAAATATATTTTAATTTGAAATAACTTTTATTGTCTAAAAACTAGAGTATAAGTAAGAATAAAGTCTACTAATATAAAATAAGAATGAGAAGGTAAATAAATATTGTTATTATAAAAGAATTTATTGTAATTTATATTACTTTTTTCTAGTCATTAATTTGTTTATTTTTAAAATTTGTTTTCCTAATGATGATAATGCATTTAATTATGTTGTTATTGTCAATGTATTTTATAATCTCAGTTCTTCCTATGTAAAATATAATAAAAATTATTTTGTATTTATATTTACTGTTGATTTTGTATTTTAATTAATTATAAAACATACTGAAATGTTATATTTAAATTGATTAAAAGGCAATTATTTATACTTGTAAAATGTAATAAATTTACATTTTTACTGTATTATATAACTAATTTGAAAACATTTTATGGTAATTGTATTTACATTAAGTTAAAACAGTAGTAAATAAATTTACTATTATTATTGATTTGATATAAATATGAGAAACAAATTAATCAAAAATAAAAATATATATATATCTGAATTATTATTTTTTCTTTAAATTGCTAAAAAAAATTCTAAATAATTGAATTTCCTACGTTACCTTTGACAGTATAAAATAATAAAATGTAAAGAAATACTTGCAGGTAAATTTATATTTTCACTTCCAGTTTTTATATTCAAGTTATCTACGAAAGTCATGCTAGAGTAAGGTTCAAAAAAACTAACAGTAGAGCTTGTTTACATTTATATTTATAAAGTATCATTGTATATTCTGATGCGACGGCCAAATGGCTGCGGCGAGTAAGGTTCGCCGCATTCGGTTCCGAGGACCCGGGACCGGCGTCACACCAGGCCCACCGCAGAATAAAAGGTGCTCAGGGAACAAAAAAGTTAAACTTGTTTTAATTGAATAATATTTTAACATTCTTTTATGAAAATTATTTTTTGACAGTTATTACATTCAATGCACACTCCTTTAATTATTGTAGAGGAAACATGTTTTTGAGTTTAAACAGTTTTTATTTTAATCTTTATGAGAAATTACAACTTTATAATAATTAGAAACAGTATCTTGTATTTCTTTTTCAAAGGATAATGTTTTAAAACTTATATCCAGTATGATATAACCTAGTTCATTTATTTTACTCTATTTAAATTTATTAAAAGAAATAATAAATAAACAAATTATTTATTAAATTGACGCCGTTTTAATGTAGTTTAAATCCCTTAAAACTTCGATACAACATGCATTTTTTTTTTTTGTATTTTATTAAAACGATTTATATAACGAAACACTCATTTAAATCTCCTATAAAATTTATTTCGCAATTAGTTTGCAGAAATGTCGACAGATGGCGGTAAGTGCTTTCGGGCTTAATTTTAGTCCCATAATAATAAAACAAAAAGTAATTTTTTTTAATGAGCGAATTGTAAAAAAACTAATTAGAATTTATATACAAAATTAATTTTAATATAATTTTCCATTAATTTTTTTTCTTTTTTTCAAGCGCGCAATTGAAAAACCTGCAGTTTGATGAATTTATATTTACAGGATAACAAGCGAATATTCAAATTATTTTAACAAATATCTTAAGTGTAAGCCCGTGTAAATGATATATACAATTAATATCTGTTTTTTTTTTTTTTTTTTGTATCCTCGTCTAAATATTTTCTGAGCCATTGTCACGTGAGTCTTACGTCGAACGGAAGTTATTTGTCTGGTGTGAAAGCGAAAAAAGTTATCCAAAATGGCAGCCAAAAGAGGACCAAAAAAAAAATCCTTTACAAATTAGTCCGATTGTTAACCGACAGACGAAGCGTCATTAACCTACGACAGAAGGAAATTTCGTGCATTTATCGTTAATTTATGCAATTATTTTAACTACCCTTTCGTAATTTTGTGGTGATTTTTATGATTTATTTGTTTTTTCTTTTCTTTTCTTTTCAAAGAAGTATCTTCCTGCCGAAGAATGCTCTTTGATGTTAGTTTTTGCACAAATTTCTCTCATGCCGAGTCATTTTTTTTATATATAGTGAAATTTATTATAGAAATTATTTACCTTACTTAATTTTACTTTGAAATTTTAAGGGGTGGGCCACACGAGAACGTTATCCTGCGAGGAAAACTTTCCGGTAGACACTCGGAGCTTTGCGTGTATATCTAACAGTGATTATTAGGCGTTACCGCGCCATTTTTTCATTTAATTTTACTATCGTTTATGCAATAAAGGGATTACGATTAGCAATAA